AAAGAGTGTATGAGAAGAGGGCTAGAAGGTGAAGAACCCATAGCTCAGCTGGGCAGAGGGATTATTGTAATGATGGAGAAAAGCCTGCAAAACCCTGGAGGGGGCTGGTGCTAAGGGGTCAGTGTGAACAACAGTGGAGCTGGAGCATCTTCATCAGTTCCCAGGCATGGTGCTTGCAAGGAGGTTTCTGGTCAGTGAGCCTTGAGCTGCTGGGCAGCAGAAGGGTGGGTACACCAGGTCAGCAAGCAGAGTAGGATATTTGTCTGTGTAACACACACACTATTTTGTTGTGAGGGCAGCTTCCGTGGTATGTAGGTAATAAAGCTGAAGAAATTAAATCATGGAATCACAGAATGGTTTGGGTTGGAAGGGGCCTTACAGATGTTCCAGATCCAAACCCTTTTTATCCCTTCAGAATTTAGTATGTTGTATCAAGCAAGAAGTCACCTTAAAATATTTTCCTCCTGGGTGGGGTTGGAAGCAGTCTCTACCTTTTGATGGTCTGCATGCTGGTTCTCTTTTATTTTTTTTTCCTTTCTTTCTTTTTAAATCCTCCTTTTTGCAACCAAGATTTCTTCTGATTCCTCCTGCCACCATTGGTAAAGGCCTGATTTTAGCCAAGGGAAGTCCAAATAAATAACTCTGCTTCTCTGTGCCCTGAAGAAAGCTGCCCAGGCTGACCCTGGAGAGCTGGCTGCCACCAGTCAGGATAGTGGTGTGCTCTGAGCAGGGGGCACCACTTCTGCCCCTGCTTGGAGAGGTAGGAAGAAGAGACATCTTCCAAGTCTGCCCCTGAGGGCCACCTTTGTGAGGAGTCATCATCTCTCCAGTTTCCTTAACTTCTGTGGAGCTCTTCAGTGTGCTGCAACCTGTACCCAAACACCAGTAACCTGGAGACAGCAGAGAACACAGATTCAAATTCCTGTTGCTCCAGCGAAGCACATGTAGAGGAAGAAGTACCTGTTCTAAAACAATCTAATGGAAGAGAGAACTAGGGCCAGGGGGAGGAAGAAGAAAAAGGATTTCTAACTAATACCTGCTTCCTTAGAGTTGTTTAAGTGTTCCTTCTCTTAAGTGGTTCAAATGTTTATAAACTTGGCCTCATTTTACTGTCTTAGATCTTGGATAAGTGGTATTCGTTTCAAAAGAACATTATTTTAATTATTCCTAGAGAATAAATCCCTTTCCATAATACGATTCACACTCCACCAGTGATTCCTGCTTTGTAGCTCAGATAGCAAGTCCTTGATCTAAACAACAAGCCCCCAAGGCTC